GAGGATTCAAATGTCACATGATACTGAATTTTGATTTCAGGGCGATTTGGATCTTTAAAGGTCCATTTGCGCTCAACACTTCAAATGCCTTTCAACTTTGTATATCATGTTTGCCCTTGTTTTAGTTCCTGGTTATCGTCAAATGGTCCTACTGTTGATTTTAAAAAATTCTAAACATTTTGAACCAACTTCACTGAGTGCTTTCCTCCACTTGACTGAAATACTATGAAAGCAACGATTAACCAGGTAAGGTTGAGGTCGCTTGACCACAACGTACTCGGGCTAATGGGCCCTTCCTATGAATATAGATGTCAAGTCAGTACGAACAACAGAGATAATTGAACACCAGTGCGTGTAAATATTGTGATCACATCCCATCACAAACCGGACGAATGAATGCCATGTCATCCCTTTCTACCACGTACATCATTTTCTCAGGTAGCGTAGCGATCAAATCCCCTCAGGATTTCAACAGACCCATCAATTTCCCGCGAAATCATCCTTCCTCTCGAACCAACACACGCATGGCTGCGTGAGATAATTTTCACACGCATCATCAAATTCACAAAATTATAGATATGCTTTAATAAGCACATGCATTGAAAGTCAGGGGTCTTCCTTTATGCGTTTCCTTGCTAGTTTGATCACATCATAGCACAAAAGACTCCTCACCTATGTCAATGTATCACCATGCAGGTTCTTGTTGAGGGATGTTGGTGATAAAACACTACAGAACATAGTGACCGCTTGACCAGTGTTGTAGTGGACGCCCAGTAAATACAGGTTATTATCCCCCCACCAGGTGGCTCCAGACCTCCACCTGCTCATCCTTTATCTATACATATTTGATAGCACCGCCGGACATGCGGTCAGCAGGTGGTACCTGATACGTTGTGTTAACTTTCCTTTAAACCAATCGCTTGGACAAACGATTTCTATCAGTCTAGAATGATGGCATTAATAGAGCAGGTCGTTTATGTGTGAAAACATTATTGTAGTGAATGCATGTTGGGCACGTGTTGCTGATGTAGCTGATCTTCATCCTCCTGTGATGAACATGATGGCATCTCTGAAGGCGAGAATACTCACTTACTGTTCAGTTGGTTGCAGTCGCCAGTTACAGTGTTTTATTGAAAAACATTCTTGTCTGATGTCTGTGATTTCATAAATACATCTAAATATGCATATATTACATGATACGCCCTGTGTGGTGCAAACCGTGCAATACACACACTCACACAGACACTCACTCACATATACACACACTCACTCACTCACATTCTCACTCACACACGCTCACTCACATACTTACACACAGATACTCCCTGACTAACACACACACACACACACACACACACTCACAGCCACCCTCTCAATCCTACATACAAGATTACAGACAGATATATAGATACACACGTTCTCAATCTTGACATATGATTGTATTATACACTTTATTCTTCATATTACTACTGCTACTATTGCTACTCTGACTACAACCACTCCTCCTCTTACAACAACAACAGCAACAACTACTACTACTACTACTACTACTACTAGTACTACTACTAGTACTACTGCTACTACTACTTCTACTACTACCATTGCATTACTACTACCACTAATACTACAACTACTTCTACTACTACTACTACTGCTACTACTACTACTACTACTACTTCTACTACTACCATTGCATTACTACTACCACTACTACTACAACCACTACTACAACAACTACTACTACTACTACTACAAACTCGGATATGGTATATTTGTTATCGTCTCAGCCTTGTCATGTGCCATATATGCATTTTATTCTCCCGATAATCTAGATCACTTTTCTTCATACAGTTTATACGCCCCCGGACTCCCATTGCCAAGTCCCATAATATCACAAGCATGGCTTGACTAAATCATGTCGTGTATATTGCCAGCAGCCCCACTCCAGTCTCAGCTTACTCGTTTCATAGACTTCTGACAAAGAATAACTTTTCTCAAACCTAAAAAACCCCACATAAATAAAACATTTAGTGTAAAAGTATGAAAACGAACTAAGGAATGTCCCAGATCCGTTAAACTCACCGTCGTGTAAGTCCAGAACGGGCTCTTCGATAACCCGTGCAGATGTCACAGATAAAAACATTTGAAAGAGCCGGGGGGAGGGATGTAAACCTGCTTAAGCATACCCAGGCAGAGGCTAAAACCCCGGGAGTGACGATGTTGATGGATTAGAGGTCCCACTGTAGGAGCTTGTACAATCTACCCATGGGGTACTTTTATACTCATTTAGATATTCTGTTATTCGGACTGGAAAATATATGCGGTGTTTTCTATTGTTGATCAGGGACGGACTATCCTGTGGTAGTTTGGATCCTGGGTGTCAGCGGGGGAATGGGGTGGGTGTGTGGGGTGTGTGTGTGTTCATAGCATGTTCTCAGGAAACATCTTGGAAGGTTGACTGAAATTGGAAAACGTACATAGACATTTTGTGTTCCGTTTATAAAGATGATAATATAACCTCGCGTCCATGGGATATGATTAAAGCGGTATGCCCTGTAAAACAAAGAAGTGAGTGAGGTTTTACGCCGCTTTTTAGAAATGGGCTTCACACATTGTACCCATGTGGGGAATCGAACCACGGTCTTTTGCGTGACGAGCAAACGCTTTAACCATTAGGCTACCCCACCGCCCCTAAAACAAAGAAGACAGAAGATGCGGTTCCTCTGATTCTGAAACATTGCAGTAGACCGTAAAACTAGGATTTCCGGAGGACACCGTTCCGAATGAAATCAATTGACCCCACAACAAATATCCTGATATACGATTGTCCTTTTCGCGCGAACACATTTATAACTGTAACCGTCGCGAGTATACAGACCAACGTAATTTAATTGTATATGACAAGACCACTGGCAATTGCTCATGTCTTTTTAAGTTTATGAATTCTTTTTTTTTGCATCGGTGTAGTAATTTTACTGTCGAAGGAAATAATTTGTCCCCTCTAATTGGAACGCAAGCATAAAACTTCCATATGCAGTCTTCCATATATACGTTTTTAAAGGTGTCTATCGATAGTTCATTCCAAGCGCTGCTTAATAACACGTATACCTATGTTTACACCAACGTGTTCCTTTTGCATCACTGGGATTTTCTACACATAATTTTTATCTGGTAGTTGTAGAACTGGTATCGTGTAAATTAATTCCGCTGCGACGTGGAATGAATTCTACAGTGAAATGTTTTTGTCACGTGTTGTTTTATGTCTGACAGCCTCTGGGTATCGCTCGATGATTTCCTTTAAGTACAGTGTGATGTAAGATACTCACGACAACGCAGACTCACTGCCCGCCTGGTGGTGCTCGGTTAAGGTCCCGCCAAGGATATCAGCTGTCTGTTGACGCTATCACGTATCAGCGATTAAGAATTAACTACCATATCCCGGTTGTAAATCCACAAAAGTCTGCCATGTGACTCCTAATCGGTAGCAGAGTAAACTCGCTGATGAATTTTTGCATGTATTTTAATACCGCATTGACATGTCCCACTGCAGTCAAGGCGCCTCAATAACAATCAACCTGCTTCGCAAACACTGCCCTCTCCCAGGGGGTGGACTCAATACAACAATAATACCCCTACTGTGTTCTGTGCTGCGTGTGTGTGAAGTAGGTTTACAGCTAGAGCGCTTTACAAGTGCGTCAATTGTCCATTGAAAATTTTTCATCAACCGCTTGTCCTCCAAGCCATTGCTTTTACACTGGATTTTTAGCCGTTTATCGATTGCCAACAATTGTCAACCTGCTAACGTCTCGGGCACGGAGTATTGTATTTAAAAGCTGCTAATGTTCAAGGCACGCGCCATCATTAATGTATATTGGAGCACGAATACAAGACCTGCTTTTGGTCCCTGTTCCACCGTAATCCCCTACCTGGACGCTGTTCGCCGTTAACCTGTAGTTAAGCCTGTACCTGGTGGTCGGTCAGGGCGCTGTCGGTTTGCGCAGAGCGTGACTGTATGGGATTAAGGCGTAAGGGTGATGGATTGGGGGATAAATAACGTTAATCATTTATTGATGTATGTTGATAGTCTTTGTAGGTTCGGGATAGTTAGGTACAGATGTAAAGCATCCATTTGGGGAGCACGATATCTGTGATGACGTCAGCAACTGCAGGAACTGTACCAGCAGCGTTAGCAACCTCATCAAAGATGTGCAAGCGGGAACATACAATCCAAATATACCCAGGCATATGAAACTAAGCTGTATTAAATGGTTCACGGAGAGGTTTGTTTGCAGAGAGTTTACTGATTACTGTAAAGTACATACAGTGAGACAACGGAGTGACATAAGGGTTACCATGGCCAATCGGTTGAGGACGTCATGGTAGGGTTTATTTATATGCTAATTATACATAAACGTTGAACACAGAACAGGACTAAATCACCATCCGAGGGGCGGTGGGGTAGCCTAGTGGTTAAAGAGTTCGCTCGTCACGCTGAAGACCTGAGTTCGATTCCCCACATGATTACAATGTATGAAGCCTATTTCTGGTGTCCCCTGTTGCGACATTGCTGGAATATTGCTACAAGCGGCATAAACTAACTACACTCATCCACTCACCATCATCATCCGATGAATATATCGAATGGGATGAGGTTAGTAGGTCGGTTGGTGGGGTTCTTGTGGGTTTGGGGGTTTAGCTGTGTACGTAATGTAGGTCAAAACAGCAGAAGGTGCTGTCACTGTCTTGTTCATTTGGGCTCGAATTAGTCAGTGGTAGATAGGGTTGTGTCCCGGTTCGCATAACCCTTTCCTGCAGGGCAATACACACAATGATGTGGCTTCATGAAGGTCGCTTTCATCCATGACCTGTGTCGGTTAGTATTTTCCTCTCGAAGTAATCTGTTATGTAACGGTATTACTTCTAAAAGTGACGTTAAACTCAACACTCACATTGATATGTGAAATGACTCTATATTCAGATGTTTGTTTTTTCTTTTCCAGATGGTCTTAGACTCTCCAAGCCCCGGTTCGCCCAATCTCATGACCTTTGACCACGCCACCGCGGAGATTCCGATATTGCTTGACGGTACAGTAAGATGGGTCACGGGCCTCACGAAGCGGACGACGTGCGATGATGTCATATACGCCCTACTGTACCAAGACGGCAACCACGAGGGCGAGACGACAGAAAACTACGCCATCTTTGAAAGATGGCGGGACGTGCAGCGGCCATTGCAGGCCAGAACGAAAATCATGAAGATCTGGAAGGCCTGGGGGGTAGAACAGAATAACGTCGAGTTGTCGCTGAGAAGACTGCAGGATTATAGTTACGTATCCGGCGAGTCGTACAGGACTAGTCGGAGACACAAGCGAAACAGGCATAAGAGTCGTCATGGCAACGACTGCGGGTGTCGACCTGGTGCACATAGAAACTGCTACAGTACAGGGAAGTTGCGCTCTCTTGAGAGCCTTGTGAAGCTAGTCATTGCGCAGGAACGGAAGTTGCAGGACCTGGGTGAAAGAATTGAGAAAACAGATGACAAAATCGACAATCTTGAAACCCGTCGCCATTTTAGCCGTGTGAAACAAAATGGCGACGATTATGTTCAAAGTGCTTACCTCGACAGTCTCAGTGAAGACAGTATGGATGAGTTGTTTGGTAATGTGAAATCAGAACATATTGAAGCGTATTTGGAATATTGTGAGAGGATTATCAAACTTGAGGATAAGTTATCAGGTGAGAACAGTAAAGTGAGAGATCTCACCAAGCAGCTACAGGAATCTCTTGCCAGGAGTGACTGTGTAGGTAAAGGCTTGTCTAGTCTGAGTGACCTTGACCTCTCTTTGCCTCTGAGCCAGCAGCTGGAGCAGGTTCAGGTGGAGATGAACCGCCTTGTGAGTGCAGGGATGATGCAAAAATACCAGGAGGATTCCATCAAGCGGGAGTTGCAGCAGTGTGACAAGCAGGTCGAGGTCAAGAGGCAACTCATCAGGTCACTCAAACGTGACCTGGACAGTCTTCAGGTCCCTCTGGACAGTCCCAATGTGGACCAGAGACAGGACGAATCCGCCGAGGATGACATGGACGACAGAGTGTCTATTATACAGGTGTATGACTCTCCTCCCAAGTCGAGGAACAAGTCAGTGACGTTTGACGATAGGTTGAATCACATGCATGTTATAGGGACGTCTCGTGAGAGTCTGATGGAGAGGCTCGGTGGCAGTGACAGGAACGGAGACAGCTCCACCAATCATCAGATCCCTCCCTATGTGAACGACAGCTCCTACAGGCGGCGGCCGCATTATACACCACCACAACAGAAAGTAACGTCCATTTTGAAAAACAAAGAACAATATAGTTATAAAGCTAATTCCCAACCTCCTGTTAATACTCGAGTCGGTCCAGATACGGGGTCACTCAGTCCGTCGGACACATCTCCGGGGTCTGAACTTGACCGGCTGACCAATGCCCATGACAGTGGTCGGTATCATCTGCCGAGTGGCATGTACACTTTTGCAAATGATGGACATTACTCTCTGCTAGATTCTTCTAACAAGCAATACAAAGATGAGGACTCCAACTCTGACACAGGGCTCAGTTCAATGCACAGTGACGAGTCCCCTGGTCTAGAAACATTGGTCTAGACACAGTCTATTCCTGGTGCAGGCCACGACTATTCATGGTCTAGACAGAATTTATGTCTGGGCAATCTATTCTAGGAGTAGGCACAGTCTGTTTCTGGAAAAGACACGACCTCTTCATCATGTAGACACAGCCTATTCCTGGCAGAGATACGACCTATTTCTGGTGTAGAAAACATTATTCCTGGTATAAACGCAGCCTATTCCTGGTGTAGACACGTGTCTGTTCCTGGCATAGACGTGGCCTATTCCTGATGTAGGCCACGCACACGCTACCTATTTAAGGTACACACACTGTCTACTCCTGAGGTAGACTGTTTCTATTTATCCAAGTATCTATAACTGCGACCGTTGTTTTCTCAAGCAACTCTTTTAACTTAATGCTGACAGTGTTCTTTTCTGGCATTTTGACGATAAGAACGTACACGTGTCCTAATTCCCTGTAGCCTCTGGTGACCGCGTATAGGGCGAGCGCAATACTGCCTTCATCATCTCATCACCCAGCTGTAATAGGGCACACTGATACAAGATATATCTATGGTCAGACAGTCCAAATCAACCGCTTAACATATTTTGTAAAAGATTCAGAATAACAACTTGCCTAATTACTTCTCAAAATACTAAGTTAAAGCACAACGTCATCTTATATATAAATTGTCTTTGTTCGAAAGGCTAGAATAATCATGAATGTTCTGAAAGTTCAATTCATTGAAACATTATGACTTGATGAAATATTGCAAACTTTACAGCTAGTTACTTTTTGATATTGTATAAACCGCTTTATCAGAATCTGACCAATCATGAGGCTTTGTTCGAACAGAAATTTTAACATATTACATGTGACTAATTGTTCATAACTGAAGACAATTCTTCAGAGATTGTAAACAGGAAAACCTCATCGCCTTGAAGGTCTGAGTTTATCAATAAAGTCTAAGCTTTAAGTTACGTAGCTACGGACTATTCAGATCCGTTGTCGTAAGCGAGTTCCTGAAGTTAGAGTGTTGAGGTTTAGCTGCATGTAATTTATCTTTGTAAAATCCATTACTATTCAGTCGATGCCAAGAACAAATTATGCAACCAGGTTTGTTGGTGACATCGTATTTATTTCCGAAACCGGCTTTCAAACATGTAGCTAGTTATTTCCAAGTCGAAGTCTGTGTCTACAACATGTACACGCCTGCCAGAAACCAGTTCTAGAGGGTGTAAATGTCATTGAAAATGACATTGTATAATGTCATTGCGTGACGTCACAACTCCAGTTGACGTCCACGGAAACCAGCGATTGCAATATTTTTTGTTATCCATTTCTCATCATCGTTCATAAATATTCAATACTCTTTGTCATCGTGTTGATTGTTATTTAACGACGCATGGAGCTCTGTGATACTGACAATCTTCAAGGGAGACCGACTCGAACAAGGGGAATTGACGACTATACAATAGTTAAATGCAAATTACAACCTGATATTATATGACCAGCGAGGCCATTGAATGTCTTCGAGGCGGTACAATTAAGTATATAAAGAGATAATCACTTTTCAGTTTAATGTCACTGTTTATGTAATCTGATAGTCTTTTAATTGAGCCAATCAATGAAACCGATTGATTACAAAAATCAATTCTCAGCAGAAGGAAGATTGTGCTCGTTAATCAATCCTTCCCTTCCGAGATAATCATTGTTCGCTGATAGACAACCTCGGGTATCTGAGTCGGGGTTATTACCATGTTATTATTGTCCCCTGTTCATTATTCGGAATATGATGCATTGATACGACTATCGAGTGTTGGGATATATCCAGCGTTGACAGGCATCTCAGGGCTAGATGTTTTCTGATCCTCTTTGTTTCGAGCAGTGACCTTGAGTAGTGATGACCTTGACCATCATCGGGAAACATAAACAATCGCTAGAAACACATACTGAACATTGACACTGAACGTGGGAGAAACATTGACACTAGCGCATGGAAAGCATTGACACAAGAGCATGGAAAAAACATTTACACTAGCGCATGGAAGGAACATTGAGACTATAACATTGAAAGGAACATTGACAATGGGGCATGGAAGGAACATTGACGCTAAAATATTAGAGGAACATTGACACTAGAACATTAAAGGAACATTGACAGTAGAATATTGAAGGAACATTGACACTAGAACATTGAAGGAACATTGACAGTAGAATATTGAAGGAACATTGACACTAGAACATTGAAGGAACATTGACACTAGAATATTGAAGGAACATTGACACTAGAACATTGAAGGAACATTGACAGTAGAATATTGAAGGAACATTGACACTAGAACATTGAAGGAACATTGACACTAGAACATTGACACTAGAACATTGAAGGAACATTGACACTAGAACATTGACACTAGAATATTGAAGGAACATTGACACTAGAACATGGAAGATAAAACCTATTTATATCACATGACCTTTTTATCACGCACTTGTTCGTGAACCTCTACAATACTTATCCGTATGTGTAGATACCCAGACATTGTTAGCTTACGTTTACTTCCGAATTTAAAGTACAATTGCTGTTTGTTTACAATCACAATCGAGATGAACAACCACCAAAGAATCGACTAAAGGCCACTACAAACTTTAAACTTAATCTTAATTTGACGGAAAGCCTAAACTATAAAACCTTTTCGCTGGTTACCAGCTGGTTATGAAAACCATAAAGGTGAATTTGAATTCGAATACATAATAAGCGGATTCTGACACGATTTTGGAATGAAACTCCACACAACGAACTGATATTCTTTCGACTGGACCAGAAAGTATACATCTCACTCTGATATCCTTCAGAAGGGATGACTTAATCAGGAAGAGTGATATTTACAGCGAACCGAGAATCCTCTGATCCTGGTACAAAAAAGGTCACCACTCTGCACAACAAAACATGTCGCCCTTGCCTCGTCTACTAAAATAACCCGGATGCAGATCTATTACCTATTACGCACTGTTCACATATGACCAATAGCAGTCCTATCACCTGTAACCTCATCATACTGACATTAAAAACATAAATCTCCCTATACCCACCCACGCACAGTCATGTGTCACGGTAGCTGCAAGGTGAGGGGCTGACCCTAATACAGTAGGCATTCACTTTATCTTGCTTACATGCCTACTCAAATACAATATATCTCCTTAATCCGACATAAATCTTATTGCAGCCCAAAACACTGAACGCCAAGCAGATCCAGTACCCCATAGTTGAACACCCCTAATCCCAACATATGCTGATTGAAAACCAAATCGAACCTCACAACACAAGACGAGCAACGTGATATGCATTACGCCCAAGGAATTAGCGCTAATGCTGTTATTGGTTTCCTGGTTGGAAGTGTCCGCTTATATTACCTGTTGTTAGGTAAACGTGACCTGGGATTTCTCTCAAAGGAGGAACACAGCTGGTCTGGTCCTTTATTAAATATCTGTGTAGTTTTTCCGTGTCGACAGATCTTCCACGTGGTAATGTCGAGCAGAGTTACAGAAGAATTGCATGGTTTAAATAACGTCGTCCACGCGATTAGCTCAATATGGATTGTTCTCTAATTCTTAGTTTGTCAAGACTATGTCGGTTAGACTTGTAGTGAGTGAGTGTAGTTTTACGTCGCGTTTAGCAATAATCGAGCATTCACGGCAAGGGACACAGATTGTACCCTTGTGGTGAATCGAACCTGGGTCTTCGGCGTGACCAGCGAACGCTTTAAAATATCCACCAGGCTACCCCACCGTCCCCGTTAAGTGAGTGAGTGAGTGAGTTAAAGTCACATCGGCAATATTTCAGCCATATCGTGACTAACGTCCCCATTAAGACTTGTGGACATACCAATACAATTAACCGACCACGATGTAGTTACGATTCAAGACAAATGATTACAGCCTGTAAATGATCGAATCCTGATGGTTCTCCATACGTCTTCTACTGAACGAGCTTATATGCGTGCGTGCACTCCATTATATGTAATACGACTAGTGGGTCCGCGGATCGTGGGTTCGAATCCCGATTATGACCTTTGCTTCAAACTATAACATTTTCAGAATGTGAGGTAAAATGGGGTTGAACATCATATTCAAGATTATTGCAACAGCGAGAGAAGGGTTGGCGTGCTAAGAATACATACACATCTGAATTGTGTCAGGACTCTAACTATCCGGTTTACTTGGGGTTTGGGGTTGGGAGTTGGTAGCAGCAGTCAAAATACTGTAACCTCACTCTGACATAACACCAACAGACATAAACGACAGTATACTAAACTCGAAAAGAGCCGTTAAAACAGTTGACAATAGATTTCCATATTAATTACATTATTTCCTTTTGGGGAATCATTTCCTGTTTTTGATAAAACATGTCTGCTTTCGTTTGTGACGTGACATGCACTGCAAACATAAACATGTACCTGAATCCATTATCTAGCGACATGTTCAAACGGTACTTGACTGTTAATGACTTTTAATTGCTGGCTTGTCCTCATTATGGTATGGCTCAGTGTTTGAAATATACAGTGTACAAGATCTCGTGCTAACTGAACATTCGGTGTATAGTTAAAAGGGAAGGTGAGGATGTGCTTATTGTTTTCCAATATATGTACTAGCATGTACATTTGTACTTAGTTGACAAAACAGCTATCACTGCAGTGTCTCTCCTGTATAGGCGGCTACAGCGAACAAATCATTGGCCTTTCGTGGCCAGTCCCATGTTGTGTTGACCCCCTGCATGTTGGGTAAATACACCTCAAGAGAGTGGCACATTCCTGTCGGACTGGTCAGTCGAACTGGACATGGTAGGCTGGACCCCTGAAGGTCCACGGGTTGCTACATAGGTGTAATATACTCACGGATGTCTGAACAAGCATGAGGCCAGGTCGTTCACCTGAGTGGAAGTGTTAGTGAGATGGTCATCTTTTGGATGAGTGAGTGAATGAACGAATGAGCGTGTGAAGGAATAAATAAAAAGGCTCATTGTATAGAAGAGTGAGAGAAAGTGAGACGGTGGGTGTGTTCGCCAGTGCCCTAATTTGTGAAATGTCGTACGTACTATATACTCATGGAAACAAATAAGTGAACCCATGAAAGTACAAGTGTTCTTTTATTCTTTTCAAGGTTTCTTAACAAGGTATGTATTGTACTGTGGGTGAAATTATGGGAATAAATAGAGGAACAATGTACTTTCATGTGTTTCCTTATTCGTTTCCTTGAGTATATAATCGTGTTCGTCATAAACGTACTTTACTGTGATGATGAGCTGGATGATGAATACGTAGATGTGAGCATTGGTGAGCGGATGGAGGTGAGGTGAGGTGAGGTGGGTGAGGTGAGGTGAGAGGTGAGGTGAGGTAAAATTGGGTTTAACGTCGTGCTTGAGAATATTTCTCTCATATGACGACGGGCATGCGTGTGTATGTCTATGTGCGGCTGCTTGTACTAGCCCAGACTTAAGCTGGTTTTATAGTGCTAGCCCACTGAGATACCATGCCGCAGTGAAGCATGAATACCCCATTCAGACAAATTATACTGACTCCGAGCCGACCAGTTCTTGTTGTACCCATTAATGCCGAGCGCCAGGCAGGGACCAACAAGTACCATATTGTAACGTCTTTTGGTATGACGCGGTCGGGGATCGAACCCGCGACCTTCCGCTCTCCGGGCGGACGCTCTAACCACTACACCACGGAGGCGGTCCGTGAGTGGATGGATGAGTAAATGAGTGAGAAAGAGCTGGACGGGTGAGTTGACAGTGTTTCATACCACACGACAATACAAATTTATATTGTGTTTGGATTTGAACCTGTTTTGACTCAAGGCCACTTGTCACGAACTTTGTCTCACCCATCACCACACACATCTCTACTTGTTTTCCCTGTCTTCCAGCGTGTTATGCATTGCAAATGGAAACCTACAGTGCATTCAGGATACACGTATACACTTCAGGCGCCAGTCTGTCCCTGGTCAACCAAAGCGTTATACATCTATACCATCACACACTGTGTGTGAACATACCAGTGTGTATGACAAGAGAGACATATTCAGCAATGATTGACAGGTATGATATAACAGACGCAGTCGTGACTGACAGGTAAGACAAAACCAATTAGTGTACACTTGGCAACAAAGCCACCAACGTCACCTGATTACTGACTCATTCATTGAAAACTAATCGCGTACTCGATACGCTCTTCATCAACTTATCACAATCGTGAAGATCCGTGTTAGAATGCATCTTCAGTAACCCATGCACTAACGGGATCAGGTGGTCAGGCTCCCTGACTTGGCTGACACATGTCATCGGTTCCCAAATGCGCAGATCGATGCTC